TGTACCTCTGGTGCAAATTACTGACCTCTGTCATCATTTTAAGTGGGGGAACTTGCACAATCGGTGGCTGACTAAATACTTTTTTGCCCCACTGTATATTAGAATGATGGTCAAATGACGGAGTCATACTAGCAGCCCTGGATGCTCTACTTAGACACAGTGTTGCTTTTAGCTACTGCTATTTCCACACTGACAATTCCCAAGATACACACAATGTTACAATATTCATCATCTTTAATGGCATTGGTACACAAAGGGTTGAACAGTGGTTTAATTATGATTTATAAAATTGACTAGTTTCCACTGAGCAGTGTAATTGCTTCAAGTGTCTTCAAGACCAACCTGAAGCATATTTCATTAGGAACTTCGGGAGCAGGACCAAACATGCTCCGTCCGGTTCTTATCTATATATGTTCCCCCAGTTCTACAAGCTGTTCATTCTCGTCTATGTGCCCCTCCCTCCCCTTTTCAATTCTTCTATTTAGTACATGGGGATCTGCTAGGCCCGGGAGCCACCGCCAGTCCCCTTTGAGGCCTTCCCCAAACCGCAGCTCAATTCACATCCAAGCCGTTCACCTTTATCTACTAAAACGCTGTCAAACCTAAAATGCGGATGTGGGCCCAGCTAGTGAAAAATATATATAGATCCATAGGGGCTGGGGTCTAACACAGCAGGCAAAAGGCTGTGTAAAGATGCCGCTGAGGCAAGCTAGCACATAACAGCAGGATGCAAGATGCTAGCAGGCAGGCTGCCATAACCAAGTGGCTGGCCGGCATAGTATACAGAGTATACATACAAGCTGGAGAAGTACCAAGGGCTCAGAGATGAGCTCGAGATGATGTGGAGGGTCAAGGTAACAGTGGTCCCAGTGGTAATTGGAGCACTCGGTGCGGTGACTCCCAAGCTAGCTGAGTGGCTCCAGCAGATCCCGGGAACAACATCCGAGATCTCTGTCCAGGCCAAGTAGTTGCTCACATCTTAATCAAATGTAGTACTTTGTAGAGGCTTTTTAAAAATTATATATTTTTAAATTCATTTGTTTGTTTTTGCTTTTAATGTACTTGTTGTTGTTTTTTGTATTGTTTAAATTGTATAAATCATTAGCGATCAACATATCGAAAGAGTCCCATTTGTGGTTCCTGCATTATCTGTAATAGCAGTTTGTTGACAAGGCTGCCATGCTGAGAACCAAGCAGACAAAACTTTTAAAAAACATTTAATACCAGGTTAAAACTAGAGGATCAGGTGCACACGGTAAATAGCTTTTATATAGTGCTTTTCTACTCTACTTCTACTTGAACACTCACTGCACTTCATTCACAAAATCTGTTTTTCTACCCCAGTGCTGTCTATCTAACATTCACACTTCCACTGATGGCAGTCACAAGATGATCTGCCTGACTCCTGGATCTGTGTATTATGAAATTTAAAAGAAAATCACGTGTTTTTCACACACTCAAATGTTGTGGATTAGGCTTGCATGACCTGTGACTGTGCCTCTATTTGGTAAGTTTAATCTTCTGTTTTGAAGGTGTTTTATTCTAAAGTGTGATTTTCAGTTCTCTCTGGAAGCTGTGGAAACAGTCACCTAGCAAGCCAACATGCCTGTGTTAAAGGCTCAATTGGGCTGAAATAAAAGAGAGGGACACAGAGGGAGGTAGAATAAAATAGTTGCCAATTTGTTTGCTGTGTGTTGGAACTGTACTAGACTTCATTCTGAAGCGCCTGACAAGCAGGTGAGATCAAAGTCATGGGGACAAAAGCAGCTCAGCAGCGATTTGTCAGGAGACGAGAGCCAGCGGTCGGGTTCAGCCCTCTGATCACCGGCTCACTAAAGAAATCTGCCCATGAGAAAAAGTACAGCAGAAAGGGTTCAAAGGTCATTTTGATTTGCTCTGGATTACTGGTACCTCGTAAAAAGGTGGGAAGGGAATTTTGGGAGGGAAGAGGGGCACGAAAGGAACTGGCTAATAACCTTTGTATTATTGTAAAAAAGAAACCCTTTTGTGCAAAGAGGGGTTTTTGAGGGCAGTGTTGGAGGGGAGAATTTGGGGACGTCAATTAAAAAGGAGCCCTGAAATCCTTGCTTTGATTCGTGAATGAAGGAGAGAAAAGGGGAAAGTTAAAATGTATGCTTTTGGCTTTTGTGTAAGAGCACTCCACATGACTGGGTTTGGATTCATTTGTTAAGTGGATGATGGCAAAAGAAAATGTAAATATTTCAGTTGGGCAAATATTCGGGAACTGGCCAAAGTTTTTTCATGAGGCAAATGCACATTTCAGTTTCTTCTTTCTTCTGAAAGCAGGTGTGAATGCATTCAAGATATAAAAAGGACATGCCGGGAACTCCAGTCACCGTGGCTACGAATACAGCGTGCAGTTAACTTATTTGATCAATTAGTTAACTTTGTTTTGTGCAGATAACAGGACATATTTCCCAAGGCTCTCCCACACAAATATGTTTTATATTTGTGTGGATGCTAAATTCTTATGTAGCACTTTTCTACTCTCCCAGAGCACTCAAAGCGCTCTATGCAACATGCCATATTCACAAGCACTTTTCTTCTAAGCTTTCAACAAATGCATACACCAATATGATGCAACTTGGGGGTTAGTATGTTGCCCAAGGATGCTTGACATGCAAACTGGAGGAACCAGGGATCGAACCACTAACCTTCCAGTAGATGACCTGCTCTACCTTCTGAGCTACAGCCAGGATGCACTATGGCTTTTTTCGATATTTTAATTAATTAATTTATTTATTTATTGACTCTTACATTCATTATTAACTATTTTCTGAAGCAACTCGTCATCCTTTCAAATATGTGGAATGTATCCAACAGCTGTGATTTTCCAGCCGGGCCGTTTCCCGTGTTTGAAGAAAGATCGGTACAGGTTAAGTACAAGTTGGCACCATATTTTGCTGCCCATGCTATGAAAATTGTGGAAAATGTGAGCCACTTGGAAGCCACAAGCTATAATGACTTTAGCAGCATATCGTCAAAAATTAAAGACTGTGAATAAAACTACTTGATTCAATACTTTGTTCATCTACTCTTGGTTGAATTTTCCAATTAAAATATCATACAGCGAGCTGCCTGACCAAGAACTGAGAGTTAGTGTCCACCTCAGGTTTGCTGGTAAGGCACTCACACCTAAACATCTTTAAATGTAACAGCTGACTTGTTTTTCTGTAAAAGTCATATCACAGTCTTACCGAGCTGAAGGAACATTTACGTAACACTCAGTAGAACATGCACACAGTCTGCCCTGCAGTTATATTTGTCTCCTGTTGTGTAACTTTCCTGCGAGATCTCACTTTGGTTTCAGAGCACAGACTTAGCTGTGGTTCCTCGGGCTCCCAAAGGTAGAATGGGAGACAAAGCTCCTCCCCTGTGGAATCAGCTCCCAGTTTGGATTTAAGATCGAAAACATTTGTTTCCTAAAGTTTAAAGTTGGATCTGTAGTTTATGCTTCATCCTCATTTTCCTTTCTCTCCTATACCTTTCTGCAGGTATGTACGGATTCATCAGCTGCTGCTGGCTCCATCAACCTGCCAGGCATTTACTGCTCTATTGTTTGCTTCTTTTTTTCACTTCTTTCTTGTCATCCCAGCTGCTGGACTCTGGGCCTTTCGGTTTCTCTTCCCCACTGTCACTGTGGAGGATTTACTGGAGTTCTCTTGGGATGTAAAGCACCTCTGTATGGGTTTTGCTGTGACAGGCAGCTGACAGCAAAAAGATTTGGCCCTGTAGTCAGCGGACTCCTGTCTTTGTAAGAATGGGCAAAACGTATGACCTCCTTTTATTTATTTTGCACTGATGTGTTTCACTTTGAGCTCAATATGAGGGTTTCATAAGTATATTTGATTTACTGAAATAGGTTTTGAGTAACTTTGTGAATCAACTTGCTGATGGACATATACAAGTTTTGGCCTGCTATTTGACAAAATGATGGTATTCAAACTAGAGCACCGATGTCCCAGGTACTAACTCTGCTCGAATGCATGTGTACACAAAATCTAACTGAAGAATACAGCTCAGATTTAGCTGAATCATAACTGACACTTTAACCTAAAAACAACAACACACACTTCTTTAAATGTGAAGAAGAAATTGTGTATGTCGCTCACAAATTGCAAGCATTTGCCCTGCTTATTGCTGAGATGCTTTGTGGGCGGTGTGCAGGGGAGCATAATTAAAATAGTTTCTGAGAGAAACAGCACACCACATCTAAGGTTCCACCCTCTTCCAGCATTTAACCACATCAAGAGCGTCTCACTTAGAAACGGCCACCAGAACAACCTCTGATACACACGGCCTGGCTGATGTTTTGGTGTGTTGTCTGACTCCTGAGGGGTCTTTGGAGGCATAAATTGCACACATTTGTAATTAAAAGAGTTAGCTTTTCTGATCATCAGAGTAAATAAAGTGACACAGGCAGCTAGCTGGGTGATGTATGGGAGGGGAAGACAAATTAACGTCTGCTCTCTGGGGGATTCTCAGCAGAGGCCTTCATAGCAGCAGTGGAGCAGTGCCAAAGGGCAGAGAGATTTGTAGATGATGGTGCTAATTACCAGAATGAAAACCATAATGTGACCAAGATGGAAGCAATTTAGGCAGTAGTCATTTAGCCTGCTGCTCTTCCGCCCACCGGCTGCTGCCTAGCCAGGGCTGGGGCATTAGGATGGGAAAAGTCTGGGCCAATCCACTGCCTGGGTAAACAATGAAAAACTAACGCACAGCAGAGAGCTTCTGTGGTGTAAAGAGCAAATGGAGAGAGGCCCGTGACATAATGTCCATTTGTCTTTCTTAATCTATGCTTCCAGGTCAAGAGGAGTGTATAAATGCTGAGCGCATAGTCGACTGGAAATGTTTAATTCCCCGTCATCCTACTCGGGAGTGTCTTTGTGGGATGTCTGAAGGTGCTGGTTCAAGCTGAACACGCTTGAGATTCACCTCAGCTTGCCATGATGCATGCTTGGCAAGCACCTGTTAAACCGGGAAGAACAAGGACACGCAGATGTGGACCACCCAAAAGCTGAAAAGGCTAACATTTCTTTTGCTTCAGAATGCGGCTGATAAAGTCGTTTCTGGGGGGACCCAACTGAATCTTACAGCGTGAGAAATTAGATGAAGCCTGTGGTTGTTCAGGATGTCAGAATTCAAAAGCTGAATGCTTTCCGCTTTTGTTTTTAAGGTGAGGACCGGGTTTAGCGGCAGTCTTATTCCTCACCTGTTGCGGTGGCTGGCCGAGCATATCTATATAATTTGGGATGTCTAATTGCTCTTTTAGGACGTTTATGCTCTTGCCACTGTGTAATTTTATCCACGCCGCTGTCTCTCACTTCACACAGGGCCGATACCTTTTTGTCTGCCCTTTTCCTTTGTATCAATTGGTTGGAGTTCAGCCTATTGTCGCCACAAGCTTCTTTTATATCTGCGCTCACTCTGAGCAGAGGCGCTCAGTCGGGTCCACGGGAGGGCTTTTCAGCTGCAGAGGCGAGGATTCCACCTCGGAGGCGGGTGTGCTGTCAGAGCTGCCTGTGGTGCTCGGATACGCGCAGGGCTGAAGCTCTTCGGCTGTGTTAAGACCCCTTAAATCACTTTAATGGGACCCCGAGTGTTGGGCTGGAATTCTGCTGTTTTTTGCTACAGTTGTCGCTTCCCGGCCATGCCACAATGCTGGTGATAGCTCTGCTGCTGTTGCTGAGCCTGTGGGACCCGGTTAGTCCACGGCCCCGCTGCGCTTCGGGCCAGGCTTGCGACCCCCGGCATCGGAGAGACGCCGGGGGGCGCGGAGGAGTGTATGAACACCTCGGAGGAGCGCCAAGACGCAGGAAACTTTACTGCGCTACCAAATATCATCTGCAGATCCATCCTAACGGCAAAATAGATGGCTCGCTGGATGAAAACAACCCGCTCAGTGAGTACTGAAGTTTGAAAGGAAGAGACGTGTAAGCGGAGAGCTGTGACACTTTGTGTGTGCGTGAGAGAAAGAAAGAACCCATGTCATTACAGCCAGCCATGTGTGTGTATAATGTATATATAATGTATATATATACACACAATCGGTGCAGTGATTCCAGGAACAGCGTCCGAGATCTCTGTTCAGAAGAGCGCAGTCCCGGGAACAGCTAAGAAACTGAGCCGGACCCTAAAACTGCACACACACACACACACACACACACACACACACACACACACGTGTGTGTGTGTGTGTGTGTGTGCGTGTGTGTGAGGAGCGGTGAACTGAATGAGCAAGTTAAGCAAGTTAAGCAAGAAAAAACTAGTTTGTTCATATGTTTAAGAGTAAAATGAAACTTTTTTCATTTTAATTCATTTTTTTTCTAAATAACGGAGAATATAAATTAATACATTTACACACATTTATACAGAAATATGGTGACATTTAAGAGAGAGAAATGTTCTATTAAACATGTCCAACACAGAAATACAAAAATGTTACTGTTGTGTGTATCACAGGCATCATGGAAATCACAGCAGTGGACGTTGGTGTTGTGGCCATAAAGGGGCTCTTCTCTGGGAGATATCTGGCCATGAATGATAAAGGACGGCTGTATGCATCGGTGTGTTCAGCACACACACACACACGCACGCACGCATCTGACATGTTGGGAATGGGTCAGAGCTAGTGGAGAACACATAACACAACAAAACATGCCTTAATTATGCCATTAATTCAGCTCAATTCATTTTTATTTCTATAGCACTAAATCACTGCAACAATCAGGCAGAGAGCACAGGGCCTGACACATGAGCAGCCTCTGTCCTTTGCCCTGCTTTAGTGTCACATTGTCATGTTTAGCCACTGAAAAGTAAGTGACCGTAAACTTAGTCTGCGCCACCAAAGAGGAGTGAATTTCACCGCTCCTGTTTCCAGAAAGACTAACGTGCTTCGTTCTCACATCCATTCTCCTCTCTAGGAAGTGTTCAACAAAGAGTGTGAGTTTGTGGAGCGAATCCACGAGCTGGGGTACAACACCTACGCCTCCCGCCACCACTCCACAGAGCACCCTGCTGCACCGGGAGGCGGCGGCAGCAGCAAGCGCCGGGCCAGCGCCAAGAGACAGTGGTACGTTTCCATCAACGGCAAAGGGCGGCCACGGCGAGGCTTTAAAACCCGAAGCACGGACAAAGCCTCGCTCTTTCTGCCTAGGGTGCTTGGTAACAAAGACCATGAAATGGTGAAGCGGCTGAGGGAGAGTCCGGGGCCACATCACCATGCCCATCACCACAGCCGCCGTGCTGAGCGCCGAAGACGCCGGCATCGCGCTGGGAAAGGCTGGGCCTGACAGCCACACGTGTCGGCAGACAGTTGGAGGACAGTCTGTGATTTGCCCAAACATGGACCTTAATCCTGCCACATACTGTAGCTTAACAGCAATGGAGGATGTGGATGAATGATTTGGGTTCTTCCTCTGGATCAGTGGAAGTTTTTGTTCACGGAAGACTTGAAGTGCTGTGGCTCAGACTAAATGCTCCAGCTTGAGGAGACTCGCACACCCCCAGCCTTAGAATTAGCTGTTTACTGACTCCATGCGTCTTCAAACTTGTAAGCAAAGGTGTTCGTAAGTTCACCATCAACTTCACACAGAAGAAAAACCTTTGAAACGTGGTTGTGTTTTTGTAAATACTATTGGCATGTACAGCAGCTTTAGAGCTTTTCATTTATCAAAAGCTGAGATAACAAAGACAAAGTCGTATTTTGCTGAAGCGCTACCAAACAAAAAGGACACTGAAGAGCAGACATCACAGAGAGAGGCACTTTTCACAGTATGAAGCAAAGATCAAATCAGACTAACTGTGCTCACTAGCTGTATGACGTTCTTACAATGTGATGGTCTACTGTTTAGAAAGTGAAATATTTTACTAAATCTATGGATATTTATTTGGTTCCTGTGTTGTAAGTTATTGATATAACTATTTCTGCATTATAGCCATTGTGCTGTTGTTTCTTAGTGTCCACTGATTCCAACATAAAACACAAGGTACCGATCCAGCAGTTCTATCATCTGTTCATCAGAAATGTCTCTGAGAAATGTGTTTGTGCCTGAATCTGATGCAGCTGATGCAGCTGTGGACACCATGCAAATGTTTTGGCATTTATTTTAGTTTTTTATTGCTTCAAAAATTTTATTTATATAAGATGTCCTATTTTTATATGTGGAAAACCTAAAAAGCAAAATGTTTGGTTTTATTGGCCACAGATCTTTGAAGGCAGCAATGTCTGAAATGCACAGTAGGAACTTCTGACAGGTGGTGTAAAACAGCAGGATATTAGCCCAGACCCAAGCTAACGTTGTTTGGAGGATTCTCTTTGAAATTAAAGCTCAGATTTGTATTTCATTTTTAGCTGTACACACGGCAGTCTGTCCGTCCCTCTCTCCCCGCTGCAGTATCCGCACGCTACCATAACAGGAACAAGTACAGCAAATTTTTATTTCAAGGATTTTTTCAGATTTTCAGGTTTTATCACACTTGACTCACATCTGTCGGTAGCTACCTATAAAGCCTTGTCATTCTATACCTGTAAGCACGGAAGGTTTCCTGGCCAGGACAATACCTCCTCCCAGGGGGGCTTGGAAGCAATGCCGCCTGAGACATTTGGCCTTTTTTTTAAGACCAAAAGCTGCATAGCTGATAAGCAAGGCTGGCCCTTCTCAGAGCAGAAACTGTGTCATAGAAAGTGCAACACCTTGCTGTGGTTTGTCATAAACTCTAACATTACTCATCAGGAATGCTGGGCTTCAGTGAGGTCAGGGCCTATTGTGGACCCTGCCCCTCCCTGAATACTTTTAACAAACGTTATCTCCTCAGCCTCCTCTGATGTGTCCTTTCCATCCATGTAAATCTGTGTTCTCCTACTAAACTTTATCAGACAGCCTACAGCAGTTGTGTTTATTTGCAACGTCTACGGGCATGATGGGGGGAATGGATAAGTATTTACACAATAGCTAGATGATTTTAAGCCCATCTTTTTAGATGGGCATGTTCACTAAATCTGGAAATTATGGGATACAGTTCCTCCTTCTAGGTGTAAATAATGTGTTTCGTTCAGAAATTATATATGATTAGTTATTACAGTAAAAACAACAAAAATAAACACTGTTTAAAATGATTAATCTGCCCACTGCAAATGCACACACTTTTTATGAGAATGATGGAAAATTGTTATCCCATCATCATAATGATCCGCTCACTAAGATGTGATTCTGATTTTGCCTTTAAGTCAGATAATGGCTTTGAGCAATCAGTCCCTTTTTATTAATAACAACACATTTTATAATAATAATAATAACAATGGATTGGATTTATATAGCGCTTTTCAAGGCACCCAAAGCGCTTTACAATTCCACTATTCATTCACTCTCACATTCACACACTGGTGGAGGCAGCTACAGGTGTAGCCACAGCTGCCCTGGGGCAGACTGACAGAAGCGAGGCTGCCATATCGCACCATCGGCCCCTCTGGCCAACACCAGTAGGCATTTTAGTTTATTTTTGTATTTATTTTGGAGCATTTCAAAACACCCAGGGACACAAAAGAAACCCCGAGTCAAGTAAAAACTAGAAGACAATGGCTACTTCACACAAGTGCTGAATCTTGTCTTAAAGAGTATTCTGGTGGCCAGAAAGGCGTGTATTGGTAAAACCGCACTATAAACGTATGTTAAGCATGGCCCTCTGCCCATTAAAGGAACATTTGCTAAAAGCCGAGCTTCAGACACATGTGAGCTTGCATCCAATGCTCTTACTTTGGAAAGGCAGTTGGATGCCCTCTATAGGCAGCTCACTGTCCAGTCAGTTTGGAATTTTTACAAAGCACATGCTAGTCAAAGGATTATTATCTTAAAAACTACAAGATTTACAAAATAATATTTTTCCTTCATGTGTTTTACCTCATTTATCATTCATGAAAGGAATGTAAAGTTCACAACGCACCACTTAATAGATCCAGGCCAACATCCAGCTGTACTGCTCCAACAACATCAGAAGAAATACCTCCTTCCCAGTCTGGATACACACAACAAGACGCTGGATACACAACCATTTTTCACCTTTTCACATGCTGTACATGTGACATGATTCCAGGTTCATATCTGGATGGTTTTTATACACTAGTTTTTTGATTCTTTACATCTGTTTTAAACTTGGCGATACAAGATGATAACTATGAACGCAGACTGAGGATGAAGGACACAAGATAGGTCACATGGGTTCAGGTTTTCAGGGTAAAACAACATTTAGAAGATGAACTCGCTTTGTACAGTTTTAGAAATGATTTGTTACCAAGTCACCGAGGGTGCTCTCGGATCACTAGAAACATACTTTCATACTTTTTTTCTGGATCATAAAGATGCTATGCACGGGCTGCTACGTGGTAAATAAACAAGAGAGCAAATGAATCATGTTGGATGCTGAGACATTTTAAGTGCTGAACTGCAGCTGTCACCCAGTGAAATCTAAAACGTGTTTCACGTAGTATAATTCACTGCATACATGTAACCAAAAACCACAATAATGTCAGTACAGCATAAACAGAAAATAAAGTCAAGCATAACTTACAAACTGCAACATGGCTGAAAAGAAACATGTCAGCCTGCTTTTATTTTAGTCTGATAAAAGGACATTACAGAACCATGGACAGCGACAGCAAGAGACCTGCTGTGTGAACGCTTCACATGAATGTCTTCATTCAAAAGCCGATGCTGAGGTCCATCACATCTCAGCCCACGTAGGTGCTATCGGTGCACCAGCTACCTGAAAGGCTCAGTGCCTTGGTGTAATTTGTTTGTTGAATAATTATAACGATAGCCAAATGTCTCATCTTATTGCCTTACATGCATTTCTCTACAGTCCAGCAGCTTTAAAGAACGTTTGTAATATTTTCATTTTCCATATTTTCAAAAAAAGAAAAAATGAATAAAAAAGGTCCAAAATCCATACTGATATTGTGGAATTCCATCTGTTGTCCTATAAGCCTGTCAGCCTATGAACCTCCAATGTCCTAAAGGACAGACACTCTTATGAGTTTGTTGGAGGTCGGTACAGGATCCGGAGGCTTTCCTATAGGTTCTGCAGCTCATCGGTCAATGTTTTTAGCAGCCTACTTGTGCATCACCAGCTAATCAGCTGAATGACTTTAGGACAAGTCCACCAGTTGCTCTGAAGGTAGCTTTGGTGGTCCAGCAGTCTAAACCTTGACCTGCTTTCCTGAAGCACTGCAATAAGCCCATGACTGCTGATACTTGAGGATTCATCCCAGCATTCCATCAGTTGTGTATGCTGGCCTTCATGCTTTTCAACTAAGCCAAAGGTTTTATGGACTACTTGCTATTCTTGCATAATTTTGGGTCAGTGGAAAGTGAATTTTTCTGCCAGGCAGGGGGAAAAGGGGAAGACCACACAGACGGTTTATGAATGTAGTGAAGAAAGACATGCAGAGGGTTGGCGTGACAGAGGAGGGTTCACAGGAATGAGGTGAGATGGAGGCAGATGATCCACTGCGGTGATCCCGGAAGGGAGCGGTAAAAAATGAAAAGAGGAAGAAAAATTGCATTGGAGATCGATACCCAACCGAGTGCCTAAGATCTGCCTGCATTCATGGAGCGATTTTGCTGCACACAAAGAAACAAGGCTGGTCCAGAGATCAAAGGGCTCTGGGCTGAAAGATGTGGAAGATCTTCAAGTACTCCAACAGAGTACCATAATGAGATCCGTAATGGGACACAGCAGAGCGTGGAAATGTTAACACTCTGCATAAATGTAACAAGAATCATCACACTTATGAAATACTGAAACAAAAGAAGAGCAACGCACTGAAAGAGCGTCAAGGATGTCAGATCAAAGAAATTGTGCCATGATGTCAGCTGGTGAGTTCTAAAAAAGAAGTGAAACAAAAGCAAAACTCGACTCTTTAAGGTTGGCAGTTTGAACTCAACGAACAGAGCTGAATAAAATCCATACACACAGCCTCAAGGCTTTTTAGGAAAACTGTAAACTTCTTGGAAGTATTTCCTGACCTTTCCTTATCCAATTCAGGGACAACACTCCACACAGTCCATCACAAGGCTGCTCATGCTCACGTGAACAGTCCATCCAGTCCAACTTCACTGACGTTTTCATAATATCCATTTAATTCTGAACACAGACGCTGTGGTGCATGGATTAATAACGAACCACGCAGGCGCTTCCAGTCAAATAAAGACTTGGTCAACAATGACAGCATACTTATCATACTACAGACTGTATTTATTCGTACCATTGTTTTCTATAAGGGTCCGGGACATGATTTCCTAGTAGCAGTCTTAAGTTAGCGCTCTTTTTTCCACTCGGTTGAACTGGACCTGTGTTGTTTTCCTGTTATTGTTCATTTATAGAACTGTCTCCTGTGTGTTAACTTGGCGGTTTCCTATTTTACATCCTCCCATACATAAATTATGATATTCTGCTGCTGATAATGAAAGGCTCGCACAAAGAGGTTTTTTGGTCATTATTGAGCTTTTATTGCTTTATTTTCCAAAGATTGTGCGCGGAGATAACGAGGCCATTATTGGAAGTGAATAAAGCCCTGCTTTCGGTGCGGCTGACTGTGAAGAAGTACTTTGTGGATTTTTACTAAGTGTGGAGCAGTGATGTAATGTGTATGCAGGTATAAATATAGAGGTCTGGCTTTGCCGAGTCCATGCAGATCAATGTCGCTCCCGGGCGCTGCTGCCTGCTTCGCTCTGCTTCTCGCTCTTCTCTCTTCACTGGAGAGTCGAACACTGGGAAGCTGCTCTCACAGACGGAGCCGGGATGGGCTCTCTGACCGCCCTGCGGACCGTCCTGGTGCTTGGCCTGGTTGGCAGACTGGCAGGATGCGCTCCCGGCCTGAACGGCACGGCGGACCGCTGGGAAGCCCTTTACTCCCGGTCCCTCGCTCGAATCCAGGGGGAGAAGCGGGAGGAGAGCGGCCGGGACAGCGACTACCTCCTGGGCATTAAGAGGTTGAGGCGGCTCTATTGCAACGTGGGGATCGGTTTTCATATCCAGGTGTTACCAGATGGCAGAATAACGGGAGTACACAACGAACATCGTTACAGTAAGTTTGCGATTGATACTTTCTTTCCTCACTGCTCTGACTCGGTGTTTGAACACAAAAAGCAAAGACAACTCCAGAGAAACGACTGAAGAAGTTCTTAGAACAGGAAGCAGTCACCTCAGCTGACTTATGATTGATCGCATTTTCTCTAACTGCGAATAAAACGGGGCCACACACCTGATCCGTCAGACCCGCGCACGTGTATAGTCTGACCCACGCCACAGTACCAACATCTGGAGCGTAGGATTGTGCTGCTGTGACCTAAAGGCTGGAACTAAAGTTAGGTCCAGCCTGCGGGCCGTTGCTCGTGCAACTTAAAATCATTTGCAGACACGAAGAATGACTAACTTCTGTTTACTCGCGAGACAGTGAAAGCTTGTTTTTATGTGTGTGACTATTCTAAGACGAGGCGTAAAACCTCAGGGATATACATTACATATACACTGCATATATTTACAGAAAACCCAAGCGAGGACTGTAAACCTCTGACACACTCTTTAAAATGATACATGGAACTAAAAGACGCAGTCGGTCAGCAGCCTGTCAAGGCCTGCTGAGGAAACGCATCAGCTGGCGTCCGATTAGCCTTCGCGTGTTTCTGATACCTTTTCAGATATGAGCTGTTCAGCGCTGGGTGTTCCAGGGTAGTGAGCCAAGCTCCAAACACTTCTTGCCTCACTGTCATTTCTCAAGGTGAAAATATTCAGTTATGTTCAAAAATGTCAGAGCTGGATTTCATTCAGCCTGACATGACATCACATATATTTAAAGGGAGTGTATTTGTTAGTGTATTAACTTATGTTAAGATCACGGGTGACGGCGCCACAATGTGCCAGGTGTTTTCTCTGGAATTCAAACATGTGTTTACCGAAATTTCAAATCTCAGTCTGACCATCCAGCTCACTTCCTTACACAAGCAGTAATGTCGGTGTGCGCGCGCGTGGCGTAGCACGCAGGGCATCACACCGGCGTGTTGTAGTAAGTGTGCTGCTTTTTGTCTTCAGGTCTCCTGCAGATCTCTCCGGTGGAGAGAGGAGTGGTGACCTTGCTGGGCATTCGTAGCGGACTTTTTGTGGCCATGAACCGACGGGGAAAGCTGTACGGATCTGTGAGTGCACAACGAAAACTCTGATTATATCACACACACACACACACACACACACACACACACACACACACACACACACACACACACACACACACACACACACACACACACA